GAATGCACAGAGGTTCCCCTTCCCTGTGCCTGCTCCAGGACTGGGCAGGGCGGGAGGTACTTTCCAGGCACCCTGTTGCTGCTGCCTTCTCCCCTGCTGAGCCCAGATCTGGCTCAGCCCAGCTGGCACTGGAGCTTTCCCCCACCAGCAGTGGAGAAAGTAGCAGCTGCAGCAGGAGAGTTAGAGAGGGAGGAGGTGTGTTTTTGAACATGGAAGAAGGGCGAGAGAAGAGGGTTCCTGCTCCTGTACCACTTTGGGAAATCCTAGGTCTGCCCCTGCTCATTAGGCCTGCGTGAAGCGGCTAGTATTTGCTTTGGCTTTGGATTCGGGGGACAGTGATTCGATTCGGTGATTTGAATCACTGTCCCGATTCGATTCAGCTGAATCGGATTACCAGGTCAGAGTAGCCCGCCCCTAGTACTTACCAGCTCAGAGTGGCTGCAGTTCCCTGCTGCAGCCACCGGGGACTGCCCAAATCATCACAGCTCTCCGAATCTTTTCCGAGGATTCGGAGAGCTTTGAATCAATTCGAACCCTTAAATTGGTCCCCTGATTCGATTCAGATTCGGAGATTTGACCACTGTATTGGTCCGAGTCTCCTTTGAATCGAATCACTACCTGAAGCTTTGCACAGCCCTACTGCTCATAGGACTATCCTTGAGTAAGCAATGCACGCTCTCCCTATAGAACTTAATCTAGGACACCTCAAAGCATTTTATTCTGTGGCTTGCTCTTTTGAAAGCTGGGGTTTCACGTCCATTTTCAAGCCTGCTGAGACAAGCAATCTCTCTGTACATTAAGATACTTCTTATTTCAGCAGCCAAGCGGAGAACAGTCTGCACATTTCATCTGCCATCCATCCCACATGTTCAGAAGAAAGAGAGCAAGGGAGAGATGATGTCAGGTAGCTAACGGTATCTGTGTGTAACTTTTGAGTTTGATCTGTCCTTGTTTTTATCACCTTTTTAAATGTATAGCAACACTGCAGAGGCTAAGGAAGATCTACCACTCATCTATCAAACCCCTGGAGCAGTCCTACAGATACAATGAGCTGAGGCAGCATGAGATCACAGGTAAATCTTGTGGCCAAGGAGAGATCTATCTAGCACTGTCATGATGTCACATTCTGCCTAGTCTAGGGTATAGGCAGACAAGGTTCCTTGGGTGAATTTGATATCTTTTATTAGACCTACCCAAATGGTTGGAGAATAGTTATTAAGCAAGCTTTCGGGTTCAAAAACCCTTTGTCAGGCTAAGGAAGTTTCAGCAGTTGGTGTGTGCTCTTCCTGGATGGAATGAAAAGTAAACAAGCCAGGGGCTGGGCTGGGGTATGGCATTCAAAAGGTTTATCTCCCCTGGCAACAGACCTAAACATACAGATATGTCATTAGCTGGGCCTCATACAGTCCACAGTCAGTGTGGGGGAGTTTTATGTGTGTACATTGTATGTGAAGGTTTTTGGACACTGTCACCTGAATCAGGAGAAGTTCTTCATTTTATGTAAAAGGGGACACCAGTACCTTGACCTTACCCTGACTGGTGAGACTCAGGGGCAGACTCATTATTGTCTACACCTGGAGCAGCCAGCACATCTGTGCAAGGTGAGTATAAAAAGCTGCCAGATTTGTATCCTCCACTTTGGTAGATGGCAAGGAATGGTGGCCATGCAAAGTCACACAAGGCTCATGGAATCAGACTTCAGAAGTGCCCAGATAAGCTGGGCTTGCAAGGAAGCTGAGGAACCTCTTTAGGCCAAGGGGCTTTCTAGCAGATGCCCTACTTCTTTTAGGAAATAGTAACCTGTGACAAGGTTGGGGTATCTGGCCCCCTGGCCTCTGATGCCCCCTTGTGGTCAGACCCACCTGCCTGTGCTCCCTGGCTTCCCCCACCTGCCATGACTTGATCTTATTTATTCATGTATTTATTTATTTAAAAGGAGGCTGTCTCCAGAGGCTGGGGTAGTCTCTTCTTTGTCCAGCTCTAGGGGCTAGTCTCCCCTTTCTTAATCCTTGGGGCTGCTCTGCCCCAAGCTCCACAAAGTGTACTACCCCTTGAAGACAGCTTTGATTGTGCCTTATGGCCTATAATTGTGGTCCCCTGCCACCCCTGTAGCCATGTCTATGCCTTGCAGATAGCTCTGTTTGACCTGGAGGGGCCCTTCCAGTCCAAACAGACACTGAGCCCTTCAGACCCCAGAATCCTTGTCTGGGCCTCAGCCTTCCCAGCTTTGGCCCTTTTTATCTGGCTGGGCCTCCTCAACCCAGGTCCATTGCCTCAGACCTTGGGCTCCTGGGCTTCAGCCCCACACATCCCTGACCAAAGGTGGTTGCAAAGTATAGAGCACCCCTAGCACGCTGCTCAATAGCCTCCAGAACTCCCCCATAGCACAAAGTGTTAACCATCTGGTTACAACACATCCAAAAGCCCTTTAGGGCCATAACAGTTGCCACAGTCCTAAGGAGTCAACTTGATTCCCTGGCCCCGTGGTACCTTCTTTTCCCTGGCAGCTAGCTCCGTCCTCCACTGCTTTACCTGCAGGCTGTAGACATAGGTGGTTAGCCCCAGCCCAGAGATTGGGCTTATATACAGCCAATCCCTGCCCCTTCCAGTCACCTGACCACCACCTTTGAAGGTGTACCCAGGAGTTTCTGTTTAGTCTAACAAGCTGTTTGGATTCTCCTGCCCTGCAGACCTCTTTAGCTGTTTAGCAGTCCCAGGCCTGGAGGATTGGGTTCCTGCTGGTGCTTGATGCTGCAGTAGTCTGCCCCTGTAGGGCACAAAAGTCTTGTTCCCCTGGGGACCCCACTCTTGCCTCCTGTTCCCCCTCCCCATGTTGTTAACAAGGTTGGGAGTCCCTGTTACATAACCCAGTTAGCACAGCTGTGCCAACTGCTCTTTTGGTTGGGTTTCTCTCAAGCTCAGACACCTTCTGAGTGGCCTAAATTCTCTTCACAGAGCAGCTGACGGCTAAGGGAGTTGGTGACAGAACACGGAACTGCTCATTGTAGGTCATCATGAGGAATGTGCAGTTGGCCATTTAGCCATCTATGGCTGGTCACCTCTGATGTCTGTGCCATGGCACACCACTAATCATTATGTCCGTGTGGTGTGCATGGCTCTTTCCACAAGAGGGAAGAGTGGCCCATGCTTGCAAGCTGGAAGAGGCTCTTCTAACCTTTGTGACCCATATGCCTCTTTCCTCAGGTCCCTCTGTGTAACGGTTCAGTGTTATAAGAACTAATAGCGAAGTGCACCTGCTTGACAATCTCAGCAGAGGAGCTGAGGCATAAGTTCCCAATACTATGGGATAACTCATGTGCTTAAAATCAGGCATGTTCTTAAGTACCTTGCTGAATTGTGGTGTGCATGGATCTGTGGGAGCTGAACTCTACTCTAGAGCCAGTAAGACAGGTTGGAACTCAGGCACCTCCAGGAGGCAAGCTGGGAATGCTTGCACTGCTGCTACCTGTTCTGTGTCCTACATCCTTTTTATTAATGCTATGTCCACTTTACAACAAAGATAGCAAGACTCTTGTTTTAGTAGTGGTGATAGGAGGATTAATATACAGCTAAGTCCTGGAGCAGAGCCTTGTTGCAAGGAGCTGACCTATAGCTGAAGCCTCCCTGACCACCCTGTTTGTCATCCTGACAAGGACTGTCATGCAAACCCTCACACCCACTTGAGATGCAAGTTACAGGCACCATACCACATGGCCTTGTTCATCTTCACCCAGTGCCAAACTCCCTTTCTGGGCCAAGCATAACTCTCCACTACACCCAGACCTGCCATTACAGCATCTTGCAGATAAGGCCTCATCCTGCATCAATCTCTTCCACTCCAGCCAATATGTGGTGGAAGCTGTAGACTGGGGTGGCAGCAGGTAGGTTCCCCTTCCCTAAGCCTGTTCCCAGCCTGGTGGGGAACACCAAGGAGGACCCACCCACTGCTGGTGCTGCAGCATCCCCTAGCTGAGCTGGGCTCCCTGTACAACCCAGCTGGATCAGGGCAGGAGTGGCTCTGGAACTCCCTCCCAACCCTATGTCAGCCAGGGACATTGTCGGCAGCAGGCCAGGGAGGAGGGAACGGGGTGGGAAGGGACATGTTGCTGGGCACAGGGGGGAAGAAAGGGGAGTGATTAGTAGTTCTTACTTCAATTCTTACTTACTTCAGAGACTTGAAAAAATCCCTGTCTGCTGCTCTGGCAGCATGGTCTGAAAGTGGGCTGCAATCACACCACCACACCCCCTCTGGATTTCATAGATTCCTAGATTCATAGATGTTAGGGTCGGAAGGGACCTCAATAGATCATCGAGTCCGACCCCCTGCATAGGCAGAAAAGAGTGCTGGGTCTAGATGACCCCAGCTAGATGCATATCCAACCTCCTCTTGAAGACCCCCAGGGTAGGGGAGAGCACCACCTCCCTTGGGATCCCGTTCCAGACCTTGGCCACTCTAACTGTGAAGAAGTTCTTCCTAATGTCCTTCACAGTTCAAGTGGCCAAGGTCTGGAACATTTCTCTTATACCCTTGAATGGATAGCACATTACAAGGGTGAACAAAGTATTTTGTAAAACATTTAGAAGCAGACCTTGTAGCCAGGTTAGGAGGTGCCCCCATGTGCCAAAAGGCCCTAGTGACTTTGTAGCTAAGGTGATAACGCTATAATGTTGAGAAAGCTTTCACATCTACCATCCCACCAACACTGGCTTTACTGCCAATTTCCCTGCATGGCAAGGTTATGCTGCTACATGAGCTACAGGCTACATTGGCTGTTTCCATTCCCCTCTGCTGCATCAATAACTCAAACGGCAGACAGTGAACTCCCTGAGCAAGGATGTCTAAAATGCTTTTCTGATGTGTCCTAAATACCATCATTACTCTTCCTTAGAAAGGGGTTGGGGAGGGATATTTGAAAATACGTCTGGTGCCGATGAATAGAAATTGCCTGAGGCATAGCTCAGTAACAGCCCCAGCTGCACCCAGTTGGACAAGATTCATGATGGGTCCCAGAGGCTGGAACAAATATGGAGCAGGAGAATCGTAAAATGTGTGTGACCTTTTAAGATGTAAGCCAATGTACAACGGTAAGTTTCCTCCACATTTCTAGCAGTCAGTAAGCTTCTTCACTCCTCCATTAAAAACAGTGGCCCTCTATTTTTTTATATTCTGTGGGACAAATTTTGCTCTTGGTACAAGGTTACAGCTTCCTCTGACTTTACTAAGCATTTGTCCATGTCTGCTGAGAGCAGAACCAAGCCTATATTGCCATCCAAGGCTACCAATGCATTTTGGGGTTATAAAGCTACCCTCTGCTGTAGCTCTCCAGAATACTAGGTCACTTGTAGTATTTTCTGGCATGGAATAGATTTTATTTAAATCTTTAAGCTGAAACTGAAGCCTTTTGTTAAAATGTATTAATCCATCTTGTTTGGAATGTGTTCTTTTCTTTTTGATGCATTTGCACAGAAAACTTCTATTTAAAGTGTGGTTGCATGTAAGTATGATATGTGTGATCTCCTTCCACACAACTGAAATTGCCAGTGTGTACACAAGGACACTGTTTACACATTCTATACAGAAGTGTCCAGGTTCCAGGGGAGAATCCCTCTCTGGGACTATGCATGCCTGTGGGTGCATTCTGTCCATGTTAGGGTTACCAGCTGACAGTTCTCTGTAGCCCCTCATGCAGATTGCCCTGCAAGTTCCATCCTCAAAAGAACTTCTTATGACACAGGCCTGAAGAGAAGTCACAGCAAATAGCGGTATATGCTGACAACTCTATCATGTGTTTGTGCATGCATAGACATTTTGTAAGGACATCAAAGAGTGCCTCATGCCTAACCACAGTGTATTCCACAATCAGGGATTTTAGGAAGGGGAGACGGGTAAAAGCAACCCAGCAGAAGAGACACAGGATATTTTATTTGAGTCTGCTCCTGTGTGTCAGTTGAACAAACCTCAAGTGTGGCTTGTTACAGGCAAGTCAGCCAGCTTCGGTTTTGTAGGTGTAACCCCTCCCTTAGACACCACTATTGAATGGGGCTTTCATCAGAGCCTGGTTAAAACTCCTGCCAGAAAGGCTGGTCCTCAGTGGTAGAGGTCTCACAGTGCATGAACTCTGAATTCCAGTGGACCTTTAATTATTTTTTGTCTTTCATCAGTGTTTGAAGTGTTCAATTGGTCCTGCTTTCTGTCTAGGAGAAGGCTGAGGTCAACCTTCAGCTCCCTTGCCTCACTGAGTCAGGCCCAATTGACCACCTCTCTTCCACTCCTCTTCCACTCATGTTGCCTTTTCTCTCTTCACCATCCCCTCCCTTCTAACAGCTTACCCTGGACGCACCCTTGCCTCTTCAGGCACAGGTTGGTATCGCTATCTGCCAACTGCATGCTACTATCAGCCAGCTAACCTCTTCACTGGCCTCTCACCATTGTCCACATACTGAAAGCCATCATTCTTTCCCTTTTCAGATACCCATTTGCCAAAGCCACATGTCCAGAGCCCACATCCACTATCCAAACTATATACCCAGTGCACCAACCCACCAGCTAGATCTAATTATATGCCTATATGAACTTAATATTTTGCATTAGATGGCTCTCTCTGAAAGACCACACATTCATGGCATCTAAATGGCAGAGTCAGCATTATAAGGATAGATGTTTTAGTAGGTGTTGTCAGGTGAACCTGTCCCATTTAGTCAGAGACATTTGCAGTTCCCTCACCCTGCCCAGGCCAAGGGAGAAAACATTTTAACCCATCCCTTGTTTGGATTAAATCTGGGACTGTTTCGGTGCATATCATTGTTGCTACAGTTCATAGGCATTTGATGATGGTGTATTGATATGGCCATGAAATAGGGGGCCCCGGTCATGTTACAGCCATGTAGTTGGCTGCTGGGGCCATGAATTTGGTAGGTCCCTATTCATAAACATAGGTCTATATATGTAAACATATATATATGTTAATGTGTGTGTGTTTGTATATATATACAGGCAGTCCTCAGACTTACAACACAATTGGTTCCTGAAAACCACATCTAAAGTCAAAATGTAACTCAGAACCAATTTTCTCATAAGAAACTATGTTATAAATGGGGGATTGGTTCCTGAACCAAGGCCCACTATTTGCACCAGAAATACACCAGAATTTTGTACTCAATCAATTATAGATGAGCAATATAGCTACATTAATGTATTTATATTGTAAATAGCAGTCATATTGATTTGAAAGGACTTCTTTGAGGTGACTTTGCTGGACTTTTTGAAAGGCTCTTGGTTGGACTTTTTGAAGGGTACTTGGCTGACGTCTTCTCAGGATTCTTGGCTGCAGATTTTTCTGGAGTCTTGTCTGCTTTCTTAAAGAAAGTGTCCAAGAAAGTCTGGACAGATGTTCTCCAGGGAGATAAGCGATGCAGTGAATTTGTTCGCTGGCATGGCATCGCGTTGGATCAAGCATTGTAAAGTCGACACTGACATCGTAAAGTTGAAACAGGGTGTCAATTTATAAGCGTTGTAAGTGCGAAATGATGTAACTTGAACTGGTGCAAGTCGAGGACTGCTTGTATATGTATGTGTATATATATGAAATGTGTCTCTATACCTATCTATACTGAATAAAGCTACATCTGTAGTCATAGATATATAACATATATAGATATTTATGATTTAGGTAGTAAATGACCAGGCCAGCATTCTAAGGGTTAAGTGAGCTATGCAACGATGTTTGCATACAGCTCAGGGTGCTTATTACCTCTTTGCCATGGATGGTGCACTATGGGGTTTGTACTTGTGACATTTTGTATCAAGCCCTGGTACTGGTATGGAGAGATGCTGCCCCGAGCAGCTCATCCTTCCCAGTTGCCTAAATGGGAGATCATTTTGTGGTGTGGCTTATGACCAGCCTAGGTGACCATGAAAAACAGTAGCATCTATTTGTGTGCCCTGCCATGCTGTGACACCCCCTACTTTTCATGTTGGGGTATGTGGCCTAGAAACGGTCCCCTCACCAGTTTAGGCACCCAGAACAAAACAATTGCCTCAGATCACCTGAGACCACAAGGCTCTTCTACTATGGAAAAAAGAGCAGCTGTGCAGCAAGTTTGATGTATAGTGGATCAGCAACCTGCAGCCAAGTAGGGATGTACCATCCCAGGAGCAGACCCTTTTGGACCAGCAACTGGGGACTTTTTTAAGTCCCCAAAGCAGGGAAGAATCCCTACCATCTCAGCACCCCTTGCCTTCCCCTTCATGCTTAGTGGCACCTCTCCTCCCCTCCCATTCCCTTATTCCCCACCTGCTGCTATCAGTGTTCCTAGCTGACCCTGGGGTGCTAGAAGCTCTGGAGCTGCTCCTGCCCCACTCCAGCCAGACATCTGGAGACAGTGACAGCTGGAGACAATGCCAGTGGGCATGTTCTGCCTCCCTGTCTGATCCCCTTGGGCATTCTCTGCCAGGCTGGGAGCAGGCTTGCGGAATGGGAGCCTACAGGAGTGGCTATAGAACTCCACCCTCATCTCAGTCCAGGACAGCAGAGATGATGGCAGCAATGGGAAGGGAAGGCAAGGCAAAGAATGGGAGGGAAGAGAAGGTACCACTGAACATGGAGGGTAAGGGAGGGAATGCTGAGAGCAGGGGTAGGGTTTTTACCTGATTCAGAGACTTAAAAAAACCCCTGGTTGCTGCTCCTGCCATGTGGTCTTGTCTGCCCCAGTTGGGGGGAAGCTGGGAACAGAGGTGTCACCACCCCTGAGGCACTGGTCACTGCTTCCACACCCCTCTTTACAAAAACTTGAATACATCTGTCACTACCAAAGATCAGGGTTCCAGCCTTGGAAGAAAACCAGCTTTAAGCAGGTCTCTGAAGTCTGAATTGAAATGGAACAGCCCATGCTATCCATGATAAGATCAGGGAAACATAGCATATAGGGCCTTTCATGGAAAAAACATGAGCAGATTACTAACATTCGTCCAAATCTCCTGAGCAAAAGTGGATACGAAGAAAGATCAAGCTCCACTGAGAAGGAAAATGTCTGGTTTCCTAGTACTGATAATAAGCAACCAGCTCCAGACCATTCAGCCAGCAGTGCAGCTCATATGTCCCTCTGTTGTGTGAGGAGGCATGTATTGCTTCCTTACATCTATAGCAGGAAGCCAGGACAACACTGAGGAAGGCTATAAGCAGAAGCTCTTCTCTAAAGATGGAGGAAATCTCAGGATAACCACTTCTCTGATTCTAGTGAAGACTCGCACAGCATATGAAGGCAGAGGCTCTTTCTGTGATCAGTTACCACTGTCATTTGATAGGAAGTCAGGCATAGACTTATTTCGAACCCATGTGAAAAGGGGGGCAAAGAAGATGCCTAAGTGCTATCCTGAATTAGCCTCTCAGCTTGAGGTGGTCTGGACATAGTGGGGTAGAAGGAGCACATCACTGGATTCTTCCTGTTGGGAAGCTTGGCACACACGGAGCAGCACATTTGCTCATGCAGCCAAGAGCAGAGCTGAGAGTGTTTATCAATCTTTGCCTTCACTGAGGAAGCAGATGAAATTAACAGCAACATCCAACAAGTATTTTATTGCAAACAGAACGTCTTATATGCACAGGCATGCTTTCACCAAGGGCACAGGCACACCATCTGTACTCAGGCTACAAGGGCTTTACTCTGCCAGAAGGCCCTGTATTGAGTGGGGCTACTCAGAGAGTAGAACTGGCAGAACTGGGTTCAAAAGCAATAGAGCCGTAGAGGAAACAGGGAGCCTTGACAAAACTATGTGCATTGTGTTAAAAAGAAGCGTGAATACTATCTTGCAGGTGGTACTTTGTATAAGGAACTTTTGGAAGAATTGCAGGGACTGTCTCACTCCCTGCTGGAGGTGGGATGCAAGCTGAACGTGTGAGGGGTAGGTCAGCCAGCAATGGAGCAGGGGGCCATAAGCAGTAAAAGAAAAGATGTCGCGTGGAAAAGGAGAGCCCTGTTTTCCTTGTGGAAAAGGACAGCCCTTTGAGTCCCTTTGGCAGAAGTGAGCAACACAGAACAGCTGAGGTCTGCTGGCTGGGGAAGCACATGCAGGCAGAAGGTGAAAGGCTCTTAAAGAGGGAGGCATCAGTCATAGTAAAGGAGTGAGAGGAGTGAGTTCATGTCCTCAGATCATCACTGGTGGGGAGGTGATTCCTATGTCTTCCCCAAAAGCAGTCCAAAAGTAGTGTCAGACAGTTGCAAGCATTCCCAATGTGCTTGGATTTGGAATTAGTTTGGGGCCAGAGGTCACTACAGTTTGTAAAGAGGCCCCTTTCTAAACTGGAGAAATGGGGATAGTGCCCAGTAGCCTGGCAACGGCAAATAATTTGTCTGGGTGAGTTCAAAGCTATGGGCAAGGAGCAAATGCAAAGAACCTCCTCATCCAGGTGCCAGGTGTAGGAATGGGTCTCCAGAAATGTGTTGCAGGTAGGCAAGCAGATGGTTCACCTAATGCCATTCCCTAGGTGCCCAGGCCAACCCATGAAGCATTACGGCAGCCCAAATTAGAAGTGGAAGAGTGAGGACAGCAACAGATGATAGTTCTGCATAGAGCTGATAAAAACTGGAGTTTCTGTCCTGTAGGAAATTTCAATATTTCCAGATTTGTTTTTGTCTAAGATTGGAATAAAAAGACAGACACTACCACTCTGTGGAGTGAGACTAGCCAGGAGGCTCAGTAGCAGTCCAGCAACAGGGGGAGACTGTGATGTATCAAGGGAGATGTAGCTCAGGCACCTAGTAAGGCTCAGAGGAGATAACAGGAGCCTGCGGAACAGGAACTACCACTCCCATGAGGTATGACAGTGGTTCAGGTGGACACAGAAGTTAACGCTGGTCCAGAGCAAAATAATACATTTTGATTTACACAAAATCCCATTTTTCTGACAAAATAATCTGACCTGCCCTATTTATATGCATTGCATTTGGTCATTTATTGTTGCTAGGCAACAGCTAGTCAAACTGGTAGCCCCACAAAACTAAAACACAACAGAACTCTTCTGAATCCGTGTGCTGATGGTGTGCTGTTGTCACCGTAACATGTTGTGAAAGGGATGTATAGGGATTCTGGTGAGGAACACCAGCTCAGCTTTAAAGGGGGTAGTTACCTTTGTCTCTTAAAAGGCACTTTGTTAATTATTCTGAAAATAATTATTTTATTTTCAAAAGTGATTTATTAATTTGTCTCTAAAATGAAGGGAAAAATGAAAGGGAAAAAACTCTTGAGCAGCAAAAGATCTCCTTCTGAATTCTTCCTGCTTATATTATTGACTTTGGAAAGATCCGAGTCAAGGCAGTTTTTGCTTACCAGGCAGATAATGGCAAAATTAATGCTTTACAGAT